AGTCAGGGGGTGGGAAAAAAAAATCAAAGAGGGAACAGCCAGGTGCAGCAGCAGAACAGAGAAAGGTAGGCAGTTGTTAGGCATTACTTCATACTCAGGGAAAATTACGCTCCATGTCTCCACCAGGGGTTGGGAGATCGAACATCTGGCTTTGTCACCCAAGGTGGTTACAACCTGTCCCCTTGGCTCCCAGGAGAGAATGTGAGACTAGAGACAAAGTTCAGGTTAATGAAGGCTGGTAGGAAAGGACTTTGGAGGTGGGAGGAAAGAAAACACTGAAAAGAGATAATGAAGAGGCTACATGAGTTCATAAAATACTTTGAGAAAAGCAGCTCTGCACATAAGCCCTGGGGAACAGTAAGTCCCAGCACTTTGCCACACAGCAGCCAGGTTTACTCTCTCACTTCTCTTCTTTGTTGAGGCTTTTTCACATTTTCAGGTACAAAAGGCCTGGATGCATTTACTGTTGAACCTCAGACAGACAGATCTCTAACCCAAGGTGGAAAAGTTCTGCCAACATAACCTCAGAGGAATACTATTACCTGAGTGACAATTTCATCCAGCAAATACCAGGGATTAGGCAAGGAGCCCTCTGTAAATCTACCCTAAGCACATCAGTGAATGGAAAGGCTGTTCAGACCTAGCTGCTGTTGGACCGGTTAGCAGGGGAGATGCCAAAAGGGAATTCTTGGGGGCTGGGGCAGACAAGGTGTGAGGGAAGTCTGAAGAAAGAAAACCCGACCTATTGACAAGAGATCTGAAGCATCAGACACACATCAAATGACTCTCTCTTCATAGCAGAAGAAAACCCAGGACTACCTACCATCACTTCAGAGAGGAAGACTGGGAAATAAAGGACAGAGGACTATAATTTTACAGTCGGTCCAAACCCTCCTGACTTGTTCCCTTCAACTCAAAGCAAGAAACCTTTCACAACACAAAATAATCCCCTAACATTCAAGGACCCTGGCTAAGCTCCCCCATGTCCTCTTACTGCCCTCCCCAGTGAGAGCCTATCTGGATAGATCCAATAATGAATCCATGCCAATTCCCATTTCTGTTCAAGCAGCACATACATTTCTTACTTCTACAACTGGCATGGCCAGGACACCTGCACTGGCTTCACAGAGCCAGGACAAGGAGCTCTGTCATTTTTGCCTTTCCTTAAAGTCTCTTAAATGGCCGTACGGGTAGACATTCACAGTTTACAGAGCAAGCAAGATGTGGCAGTCTGACTTCTCCTTCAGCACATGCAGAAACAGCCTTACAGAAAAAGGCAAGAAGATAGCCCACATGTTATGGCTCTTTCTGCACAGACAGCCTGTCTCAGAGCCAGGCCGTGCTGCAGGACTTGAGAGATAAGCAGGGTGAAGGCAGGCTGTGCTGTGCGTATGTCGCATGCCGTGGTAGCACAGAACTGGGCAGGCAAACAACATGGGAAACTCCAGCAACAGCCAGCAGAGGAGCTGGAACATTAGGGATAAATAATAATAATAATAATAATAATAATAATAATAATAATAATAATAATAATAGCAGCTGAAGCTGCTCAAGTCAACAGGATTAATTCTCCAAGAGACCTAGACCCATTGTGGAGCTTTGGGCAGAGTTGGATATGGTGAGGATATTACTTTTGCACAAACTCTTGCTGCCTGACCTGTCTAGTAGAGAGGAGACATCTCCCCTCTCCTGTATGGTGACAAGGAGGGACGCTCCTGGCTGGAGTTTATGAACCACTTCAAACTCCTCTGGTGGAAGGTGCTAGCAAGGTTCTCCAACTCCATTCCCTGCTCCAGCACAGGCTTCGCAGCAGGGAGAGCTCAACACATTTTCTATAGAAAGATTTTCAGCTCCTGTTAAGTCCTAGCAAAACATTAACAAAGCAAAAAGCCACATTCTCCAAGTGTTTCAAGTTCAGTTTGCCAGGAGAAGAAGAGAAGAAAAAAAAACGCTAAAGAAAGCAAACAACAGTTACAGAAACTGCCATGCCACATCATATGGCAGTACGATAAGCAGAAACTTTACGCTTTGTGGCGCTAGAACTTAAGCAAGGCTCCTTTCAATTTCATCATCCCAGCCTCTTTGTCATTTTGGTTTCTGTGGTCTACAGTACACTTAAAACTAAGAAGTTCCCACCTAGCCACAAAGCCAAGAATGCCCCAACAGAGGAAAAAAAAATAAACTGAATCATTATGCTATTTGTTTTTCATTTTTGTTGTATTGGTCCTGCTTGGAAGTCTGTTGTAACCACATATTGCTTCTTCCACAAATATAAGAACTGAATAGAGCCAGCTCTGGCATTTCTAGCCAGAAGACCAAGACAACACATGAAGCCTTTAAGGAAGGTGCATAGTCTTGCTGCTGGAAGAATCACTTTAGTGAGTTGCTACAGTAATAGCACAAACAGCAAGTGACTTGGAAAATGCCTTCAGTGTTTGCATTGCTTAACTGTTGTCAGTAAGTGGTTCTTCCAACTTAGCTATAAATTTCAAGGCTAATGTACCACTTGGAAAGGACATTTTGAATGTGGAAATGGTCATAGTCAAAGGAAGTGTAAAATCAGTTACTACTGCTATAACAGAGATCCAGTCTAACTACTGTCCTCAGTGTGGCATGAGGTGCTGTACAAATCGAGAGCAGTGTGCAAGCTGAGAATATCTTTGTACTATACAGGGCTTGGCTGCCTTATTTGGGTTATTTTTTAAAAAAAAAAGGACACACCATACCCTAGTGGTATGGGGTGTGTGCATATTTTTTACATGCAAAGAGGCTCTCTGGCCTTTCATAACTCCAAAATGATTTTACTGCTTGAGAAACGGAAGAGTTCGAGAGCTATGATCATTACGCAAGCAAAGTTGTGGGGGGGAGGGGGAAGAGACTTCTAATGAGCAGACCCTGAAGCTGTGCCAACATCCTCAGTGGGACAAGTTTTACATTACACAGTGCCATTTCAAGCAGCACATTTTAAATAAACAGTCTCACTCCCTTCAGGCTCAGTAACTTGACTTCAGCACAGATCACACCAAACCCTAAATCCAGTCCTCGTATTCTGCTCTACAGCAGCAATATCTGCTCTAGAGCTCTTCCCATTCAGTCAAAACAGACACCTCAGTCTCCCGTGAAGACATCTTCATGGTCTCCATGGCACCCATAGGTATTTTATTGTCTGAAGCCCATAACAGAGGTCTGCTGGACTCAAATGCAGCTAAAGGCATTTGCAACCAGCTCAGGAGACATGGGCTTGTGCAGGATGCAAATGGTCAATTTTCCTTCAAGCAGAAATATCTCCAAATACCTCAGGATATCTCTGCCTTGGGATTCTCCAGTTCAAGCTACTACCTGGGGCACTAGGGAAGGAAGGTAGTAGTAGTAGGGAAAAAAAATGCAAACAAAAACCCACCACACACTTCAGTTTTAAGTTCTTTTTGTTCCAGGCACATAATGTAATGAAAAGACTCAGATGAATCCAAGGCAGACTTTCAAAAAAAGGCATAATAAAAATCAGAAAGTGTCACTTCATTGAAACAAGAATAGCTCAGATCAACTTTAAGGCAGAAGTGTGTTGAAACAATGCCCAGCAGAACAATTTTGTAGCTCTCTGTCCAAGAACTTGGATTCCTCTCTGTATATCCCAAATGTGTTCCCTGTCAGTGACCAGGGAGTGTTCATCTTGTCTGGGACTTCCCCATTTCTCCTTCAATCCCACCCAGTCTTACCCTCCATGAGCACACCAGCCCTCCAGCCACTCCAGAAGTTTGGGAGCCATAGGAGATCCCAGGTCGATTCTGGAAGCCCATTGAGACAGAGTTGAGAGCATTGCTAGAAACAGCTATTTCTGTACTACTCTCCATACAAAACCTTCTTTGTAGCTCCGACTTCTCCTACTCTCGCTTTTGCAAACTAACGAGGCTAGAAGGCACTTGCTACCCCTCTCATTTTGGACTGTAGACACAATTTTGAATCAAGTCTTCCCCAGCACCCTGAGCAGCTCCTGGTTTCTCTCTTCTTGGGAGAGGCAAAGCTGTAGGGACAAGTAATCTCTGTTGTACCAAATGATGCAATTAGAAGGAAGAATCACAATTTTTGAATCACAAGCCCTACTGAGATCTCCAAGGCTAAAGGCATGCCTGGTTTCTCCAGTGCATTAGCTTGGATAGCAAAAGAGGCTATTCCTTCTTAGAAGACATACATACTTTACTTCTATCCAAAGCCTACCTGTAACAACATGAATAATTCAAAGATAGCAACTTTTTATCTCTGAATCAGTTTCCCCATAGCTCCTACCCACCTTAACACCAAATAATACCAAGAAATGAACAGGACCACCACAGGTGTTTCTGGAGATAAAGCCATTGCATTGTGACAAATGCTTTCTTTTAGGACCGGTACTGTTTTATGGGGACTTAGGGTCCCCTGTTCTTCCACAGGATACTCAATAACCCTCCTTCCTCCAGAAGTAACCAGCTTCTTGTTTTTGAGAGCACAAACAGTGCCTCTGTTCTGCACTTTCTCCAGGAGCACAGGAAGTTTCCTCAAGCTTTCCTCCACTTTCAGCTCTTCCGTCTACCACTACTTTCCCCAAACAATGTTGGAATCAGCTAAAACCACAGTCACTGAAGCCTTTAGCATTGCTCTTGATTTAAAAAAAAACTTCAAGCAAACTTTCAGAGAGTTGTGTGCAAACACCAACTTATTTCTCATGCAATATCAGCATGCCAGACTTCACAGTCATCACTTGCAGCATGTTGTGCAGTCTTACATTTTCAAATGCATATGCCAAAAGCTAGATGGGCCTAGTTTTGCTACCCTGCTATTTTCTTCTCATGTCCCCACCACCTCAAGCATTCTGGTTGTTCACTCCTGCAAGCCAGGACCACTCAAATACAGCTTAAGTCACTTGTACGGATACTGATACAGGGGACACCCTAATATATTCCTTACATTCCACACCTTCAGGTCCTGAGCACTAAAACAGAAGCATTTTATTGCCATTCATCGCTTTAAAGCATATGAAGTCACAGCTCAGAACAGCCACATGGGTGGCAGGCACAAGTTTGTGATCAGCTGCCAGCATGGGCTGGTGTGGTGCACTGCACCCCAGCCGATAAGAACAGGCAGCAAAGGAATTTCTATCAGCAGTTTGAACCCAGCATCTTCTTCGAAAGACTCACTTGGAAAACAAAGTGAAGTGGGAGAAAAGCATTTGCTGCCCAGGTACTACTGCTGGGGGTATTCTAGTGCTGAAGAAGTGTTCTAGGAAGTTTTGCGTGCTCTCTAGCAACACTTGTTGCTTATGCAGAAGCCGCTTTACTCCCACTACTTTAGGGGACACACTGGAGGCCCTAGACACCTGCAAAGCACCCCCCTCAACAGCAAACCTAGCACTCACCCTTTGGCAAGTCCCATTAACCCTTTCCTGCAACTAAGGGGACCTCTGCCTCCCTACACACCATGCAGCAGATTGCACCAGAGCTGGGCTCACCCCAGCACACACTCCAGCATCAGTTCCCCCTCCTTTACCAGGGCAAGTTACTCCACACACAGCAGAGGATGAGCTCCCCAAGACCCCAAACTTACCACCAGAATCAGTGTCCCCAGGCACTCAGCCAGCGCTTGCCGCACAAGCTTGTTCCTGATTCTCAGGTGCTCCTCAATGGTGGCCAGAGCATCCTTTTGCCTCCCCATTGCAGCAAAGTGGCCTCTCAAGCTAGACCAGGGAGAAGAAGCAGCTGGCAAAGACACAGCAGGAGCTCTCCCCCAGTACAGCTGCCTTTGCTTATAAGTCCTGCTATGTCTGACACACCTCCTGGGTAACCACTCCCCCACCACCCGTGCCTCAAACCCGGCTGCTTTTTATTTTTCCCCTTCCTCTGCAGCCCAGGACAGAGTGGGCATTTTTTTTTTTTTCTTTGCCTTGGTTGTTCACACAGGTAAGCGAGAGATTCAGGAGGCTGAAAGGAAGGGAGCTCCTTGAGAGGAGTGAAAAAGCAAGGCAAACATGTCTCTGCTGAACTTGGGCTGTTTTTATCTAGCTAAAGCACGTGGTTGAGTCTGTCCTGCTCCAGCCTTGCCTGAGGTCCAAAGAGTGAAATGAATATGCTGGTGTGTATTTTACCCACTTTGCACTGTCAGAGCTACTTTCAGCTTTCTCTCCCAAGTTCATTTTAGGATGGCAAAGAGATTATCACCCTTGTACTGATTCAGAGGCTATAGCTTCTTTTTCAACAAAACAGCGGGGCAGGAGGGTTCGATCCTCCTCACCTGAACTGTGGGCTGAAGCCAAGTCAAGTCCTGACTCCAGTTATCACCCCAGTTAAAACTGATCTCATGAAGCAAGACTCTTCTCAGGTCAGAGTCCTGGATCAAAACACTGGACCTAGGTCCAACTGTTGTGTGTTATCATGATTTCTTTCTGCCTCCCAAGGCTTTGAGAGAGTCCTTGCAGTCCAATCCCTATGAAAACTGAAAGGAAATGCCATGAGAGATCCTTGCCCTGGAGGCAATCCCTCCTCATGACAAGGGGCACATGCATCATGTCTTGAACAACTTTTTGCGGCTATACTCTGAGCAAGAGCCCCGGAGTCATCATCCCTGGGACCACCAGCTTGACTTATTTCATGGTGTCTTGCAGGAACCAAACACTTTCACTCCCTTTCATCTGCAGGAAAGTCATATATTATCCTGAGCCAAATTTATGAGACTGCCTGAGTGAAAGCTGTCCCAGTTTGTAGCATCTCGGGTGAAAGGTACATGCCACTTTGGCATCTGGTTTCTATTAAGTGAGCAGTAAAAATTCCCTGTGCTCATCGGGACTTGATGCAGAACAGCAGAACTGAATTCGAAAGGGACCCCTTTCCTGGATTTGTTTCCCTGCCTTCTCTGCAAAGCCACAGATTCCTGGCTTTTCCTCTTCCCCTCGTTTAACCATCAAGCTTCCTGCTAGAAAAGCAGAGCTTTTCAGCGCAGTGATGAATAGACCTTTATTCAGTACAGAAACTGCAGCCAGATTGGGTAGCAGAGTCTGAGCAACAGGGATGCAGTGAAGAAGGGAATAATGTTTAAGGAATCAAATGCAGGGACACATTTGAGCTCCAAATGTAATTGCAGGAATAAGAAACATTTCTCATTACCCTTAGATTCAGGCCAGTATCACTGACATCGGCAGAGTCCTTCCAACTCCAGCATGCTCAGCCAGCTGCACACACACTTGCTAAGGCTGTGGTTTATAAACCAGTGCTTGGGACACCCATTTTTTCACCTCCCTCTCTCATGCCCTCATGCCCTTGCTGCAAGTCACACAAGCTGCAGAGGATCCATAATCACTCCTCTGCCTGAGATTTCCTTCTGTCTCTTTTATACACTGCTCTGCATTCTTCCTGACTTTGGAAGCCATCACAGCCAGAAATGTTGTTATTTTCCTTCTGGCAATTTCCGAGATGAGACCTATGGGTTATTTTTCCATTTGTTGAGTTGTCGATGTGTAGGTGCCATGTCCTGTAATTCAGATTTATTTAGATGTATTTCCTTCTCTCATGGTGCCCTGCAGGGAGCAAGCAAGAACAACGGAGAGGGCCTCCTGAGGAGCAAGAGGATCAAGGTGACATGATGTTCTCCATGTAGGTAGAGATATGCCTCCCATCTCAATGGCGTCTGCTCTCCACTGGCTTTGGGTAAGAGTCCCGGGTACAGAAATTCCCTTTGAGCCATCCTAATGAAGTGGTAATAAACATAGTGGGGAAGGGAGGGGAGATGTTTAGACTGCCAGGTTGATGATTGAAGGTTGGAGAAGTCTAGAAATGATGCAGTCTGGAGAACCAGGATGGAGTGGGCACCCTCTGACGCACTGCCTGACCCTGAGCAAATCCCTCACCTTTCCACACCTCTTCTGCATCAGTGAATCGGGAGATTGACACTGGATTCCCTTCCTGGCGTGTTGTGAGGGTGAGTCATCACAGCCGAAAATCCAACAGTTTGCAATGAGCAAAGGCTCATTTGCATTGTGAAAGCAAAGGCAATTGCTTTCACAACAGTCAGCCATGTACTTTTCTAGGGAAAAGTTTGGGTAAAAAGGACATACAACTTTGGAAGAAGACAAAGATCTTTCCAAAAGCAGCAATTAAAGAGTGGGAAAGGGTTGAAAGACCCTCATTCTGTCTTTTCTCTGTGCTAAGGCTGGAATTGTCCCACCAAATCAAACAACTGGCATCAAGGGACACATGACCTAAACACAAAAGAATTAAATATATGAGACAATAACAATTTCACAAAGAAGCTCATCTATGCCATTACCTGCTACCCAAGGTACTAATACCCATCCTGTCATTAGAAGAAGTCCATGGGTCAGTAGAAGTATACAAGAAAGTCAGTAGCAGTAAGACTGATGCTAAGGTAGATCCCTAGAGCACCTGAGCCTCCCTACCGCTCACTGGGCATGGCAAGATGTCCAACCCTTTAGTGCTGCTTTGCATGGGCATTTAAGACAACTCTTTCAGAACTCGAAGGTTTGCAGGAAAGACATTTCAAAGCGTCTGTCACACAAACTTGTACTTGGCTTCCTTCTAATGGTGCCAAAGCTATTGAAGTAGAAGCAAAAAATTTCTGTACAGGACCAATCATAGCCCATTTAAAACATCATGCATCGAAGTGCTGAGTGAAGTATCCCTATCAACCTGCACAGTACCCCAAAAATCAAGGCACTGGGTCAGGAAATCTAACATATTGCTTTAAGGAAAATACTAGTAGCTCACAGGAAAGCTCAAAGACAAAATAGAAACCTAGCTCAGCAGTGACTAGACATGGTTTATTCTGGTGTTTTTGTTATATAAATGTCAATCCTTTTCCACGGCTAACATTTTATCCATCAGGCTGTCTCCTGTGAGTACAGCTGATGCTCCAAGCGCCAGGTCTACGGAGAACTTATACCTTTTGTCACTTTATCCCTTATTCCTTTCTTTTCCCTCCTGCAGAACCTGACCATCTGACCAGGCCAAGTAAAAGAGGCCAGGATGTTTTCCTAAGGAAATGTAGGCTCTTCACCCTAGGGTTATTCCAGATGAGACGTAGAGTCGGTCAAGCCTCAACATGTCTCCACGCAAGAGAAGAATCACAGAATGGTTGAAGTGGTAAGGGACCTCTAGAGAGCATCTAGTCCAAACCCCCTGTGCAAGCAGGAACACCTAGAGCACGTGGCACAGGGTCATATGAGAAGGGATGAGACAAGACACAAGAGAAGGGATGGACAGACAGCAGCTGTTATCAGAACTGCATTCAAGCTCTTTGCTTTAGACAGAGCCAACTGAAACCTCTAGATTCAGTTTAAAAAGCTGTGGTCCCAAACTACTTGATGTCCCATGCCTGCTGATATCTGCTGATAGCAGAGCTGTCACATAAGGGACAACTTCCCTCTCACCAGGAGACAGACTCCTCCTGTGCAGTGAGAAGTGGGAGCTCATGTCTCTTCAGGCTTCGGCTGTTGCATCCACAGAGCAGCTCAGCCCTGCTGTTTATAACCCTGTTATTTCCACAACTGCAGGTGTTCTCCTGAGGTGCCTTGTCCATGCCAAATACCAGTCACATTACGGAATTTCAGAAATGCCCACTACGATGCATTTCCTTAATGCAAGCTACCTGAAAAAAAAAAAAAAAAAAAAGGACTAGGATGGAAATTCCCCCAAGATTTAGGCCCAGGCAAAATCAGCTTTAGGACTGGCTGAGCATGGCTGGGTGTTCTCACTTGTGACAAATATAGGCAAGCAGTTTTTGCATTTACAGAGGTGTATTTAAGGAGCATCCTGGTGAATTGGTGGTTAAAGCGGTTAGACAGCCCCGATGCCATAAGAGATAGAGAGTGTAGTTTGCTGTAGTTTGAAGATACTTTTATTTAATTTTTCTTACCGATTTGTGTAAGCAAATGTTCTTACTATCAGTTTACTTCTAAAAAAATGATGTCATTAGGTTATTGCTTTACCTTTTTGCTGGACAGGACTCAGAACAGACCATGGAAGATGATTAGGCAATATCTGAACAAATCTCTTGTTCAGGTAAGAGATAACCATGTAGCTGCTGACTCTAATTTGGATTTGGGCAGTTCTGAATAAGCCCAGATTTTTGCTGGCATGTGAAGTCAGGCTTTTGGTGGGTAGGCTGAGGGTGAGGGGGAAGTTTGAGAATCTAAGATTTTAAGGCCCACTTGGATGCAGTCCTGTGCCACGTGCACTAGGAAACACTGCGTGTGCAGGGGGGTTGGACTAGATGATCTCTAAAGGTCCCTTCCAACCTTAGGGATTCTCTGATTCTATAGTTCTATGATTCAGGAACCCTATTCTCTTCTCCAGGGGTGCAAATAAGAAAATATTAGCTTGCAGGCACCATATGAGGGCAAGACACAAACGAGGATGTAAAACCAGGTCAGGGTACAGATGATAGAGAAAATAACTGCTTCAGGAAAACCTCATACTGTGCATCTGTTTAGAAGTTATCCTGTTTTCGGGTTAACCCTCTGGTACTTTCTGCCCTTTGCATCTCCCATGGGAAAAGAAAACATCTATGGAATATCCATACTTTTATGGTTTCTAAAGTTTGGCCTAAAATTACCCGTGGCTGATTTTGCACTTGTGAAAACACAAACAGTTTTTTTCCTTCCTTATAGACCTACTGACAGCTTTATATCCTCCCTTGGACTTGGATCTGCTGCACTACCTTATTTGAGCACTAATAGCCTATACGTAAATGGAGGGTCTCCTTTCAACTCCTT